ATCAAGAATATATATGGTTTATAGGGTCGGAAATGACTCCTTCATTACGTTTCAAGCTTCTGACTTAAATAATATTCTTCAAAAAGGTATAAAAACAGACAATTTTTGTGAAAAATCAAAGTTTTTCGGACATCATAATTAAGCCGAAATTGCATTAATTTCAATTCGGGAAGCTTTTCTGTGCTAGTTTTTATTGCACTAACAAATCGGCATACTGCGTTTGTTGATGCTATTGTCAGTTTTTGACTAAAATCATAAAAACCTGAAAAAAGGTATAAAAACCGACCATTTTGTCAAAAAATCATAGTTTTAAAAACTCATAACTAAGCCAGAATATTATTAATTTTAATTCGGAAAGCTGTTCTATGCTTATTTTTAATAGATTAACAAATCTGCATACTCAGTTTTCAAATTCAAAAAATTCAATTTGTTGTCAAATTTTGACAATTTTAATGATGTAACCCCTTATAATATTTTCAATTTTCGGAGAAATTGAAAAATTTATTTTTCGACCGGACATGGCTAGAACGACTGGGCCGTTGATCCTGATCAAAAATATATATGGTTTATAGGGTCGGAAATGACTCCTTCATTACGTTTCAAGCTTCTGACTTAAATAATATTCTTCAAAAAGGTATAAAAACAGACCATTTTTGTGAAAAATCAAAGTTTTTCGGACATCGTAATTAAGCCAAAATTGCATTATTTCAATTCGGGAAGTTTTTCTGTGCTAGTTTTTATTGCACTAACAAATCGGCATACTGCGTTTGTTGATGCTATTGTCAGTTTTTGACTAAATCATAAAACCTGAAAAAGGTATAAAAACCGACCATTTTGTCAAAAATCATAGTTTTAAAAACTCATAACTAAGCCAGAATATTATTAATTTTAATTCGGAAAGCTGTTCTATGCTTATTTTTAATAGATTAACAAATCTGCATACTCAGTTTTCAAATTCAAAAAATTCAATTTGTTGTCAAGTTTTGACAATTTTAATGATGTAACCCCTTATAAAATTTCAATTTTCGGAGAAATTGTAAAAACTTATTTTTCGACCGGCATGGCTAGAACGACTGGGCTGTTGATGCTGATCAAGAATATATATGGTTTATAGGGTCGGAAATGACTCCTTCATTACGTTTCAAGCTTCTGACTTAAATAATATTCTTCAAAAAGTATAAAAACAGACAATTTTTGTGAAAAATCAAAGTTTTTCGGACATCGTAATTAAGCCAAAATTGCATTAATTTCAATTCGGGAAGCTTTTCTGTGCTAGTTTTTATTGCACTAACAAATCGGCATACTGCGTTTGTTGATGCTATTGTCAGTTTTTGACTAAAATCATAAAAACCTGAAAAAAGGTATAAAAACAGACAATTTTGTCAAAAAATCATAGTTTTAAAAACTCATAACTAAGCCAGAATATTATTAATTTTAATTCGGAAAGCTGTTCTATGCTTATTTTTAATAGATTAACAAATCTGCATACTCAGTTTTCAAATTCAAAAAATTCAATTTGTTGTTAAATTTTGACAATTTTAATGATGTAACCCCTTATAAAATTTTCAATTTTCGGAGAAATTGTAAAAATTTATTTTTCGACCGGGCATGGCTAGAACGACTGGGCTGTTGATGCTGATCAAGAATATATGTATATGGTTTATAGGGTCGGAAATGACTCCTTCATTACGTTTCAAGCTTCTGACTTAAATAATATTCTTCAAAAAAGTATAAAAACAGACAATTTTTGTGAAAAATCAAAGTTTTTCGGACATCGTAATTAAGCCAAAATTGCATTAATTTCAATTCGGGAAGCTTTTCTGTGCTAGTTTTTATTGCACTAACAAATCGGCATACTGCGTTTGTTGATGCTATTGTCAGTTTTTGACTAAAATCATAAAAACCTGAAAAAAGGTATAAAAACAGACAATTTTGTCAAAAAATCATAGTTTTAAAAACTCATAACTAAGCCAAAATATTATTAATTTTAATTCGGAAAACTGTTCTATGCTTATTTTTAATAGATTAACAAATCTGCATACTCAGTTTTCAAATTCAAAAAATTCAATTTGTTGTCAAATTTTGACAATTTTAATGATGTAACCCCTTATAAAATTTTCAATTTTCGGAGAAATTGTAAAAATTTATTTTTCGACCGGGCATGGCTAGAACGACTGGGCTGTTGATGCTGATCAAGAATATATATGGTTTATGGTTTATGGGTCGGAAATGACTCCTTCATTACGTTTCAAGCTTCTGACTTAAATAATATTCTTCAAAAAAGTATAAAAACAGACCATTTTTGTGAAAAATCAAAGTTTTTCGGACATCGTAATTAAGCCAAAATTGCATTAATTTCAATTCGGGAAGCTTTTCTGTGCTAGTTTTTATTGCACTAACAAATCTGCATACTGCGTTTGTTGATGCTATTGTCAGTTTTTGACTAAAATCATAAAAACCTGAAAAAAGGTATAAAAACAGACAATTGTGTCAAAAAATCATAGTTTTAAAAACTCATAACTAAGCCAAAATATTATTAATTTTAATTCGGAAAGCTGTTCTATGCTGATTTTTAATAGATTAACAAATCTGCATACTCAGTTTTCAAATTCAAAAAATTCAATTTGTTGTCAAATTTTGACAATTTTAATTTCAATTTTCGGAGAAATTGTAAATATTTATTTTTCGACCGGACATGACTAGAACGACTGGGCTGTTGATGCTGATCAAGAATATATATGGCTTATAGGGTCGAAAATGACTCCTTCATATCTTAATTCCTAAATAAATACAAGAAATAGTGAGGGAGAACTCTCTCTTAAAATGTACATAATTTTTGTAAGAGATCGTATTTTATGTGTGATTAGTTTAAAGTATTAAATAACGAGTTATTTCTTTCTAGCAATAAGCAATATCCACTGTAAATTACTGTGATTATGATATAATTGCATTGAAAGTAAGGTAGTAAAGTTCCAGGTACCGATTTCACCATTTATTTTGACTCATGGGAATTGTTGTGCAAAAAAGTACATACAGAAATACCACCCAGTCACACCCACCCATTCCCATCATGGCTTGATACCTTGAGAGAAGGTCGGTAAATATAGCAAAAAGCACTGCCCTACTTTGATGTACAATCGTGACTCAGAGCAGATGGAAGAATATTAATATGGATATGGCTTTCAATTAGAGCTATTATCTGTCAACAAAAAAGTCGAAGAACGTGTCGGAATTCACGTTCATTTTCGTTACTTGGATCAAACTTATGAATGAAAGGAAGCCGCTTGTGGCGTAATAATAATTTAACAAAGAAACATTTTAAACATAATTAACCATTAAAGAAAAGGTAACTTTCGAAATAAGATTATATGGCTTCCTTCCTTTTATATTTAAATTTATCTGCTTAAACTCATAATTTGTAATCATTGTTAAGAGAAAATAGTATATTATTTAGCCTACTCTTTGCTTCTGTATATTATGTGGAAACTGTAAACTCGTTCACTATTATTTTGAGCAGTTTACTCTATGATGCCATTAAGTCAAAGCCTGTCCCTGTCCGTTTCCGTGTCACTTCCTTGAGGGAGCTACATCGAAGCTTGCCTCAACTGTTGAATTCAATAACGACACCTGATCCAGATCCCAGTTGGGCAAACAAGGGCATTAGGAAGTGGAACTCCCTGAGAGGCGGCAGGTAGGAGGTACCTGGCGGCAGGCGGCAGAGCAGCGAATCGTGGCGAAACTTTGGCCGGGAGAAGGGCAAAACTTATTTGCTTCGAAATTACGTGTCGCCAAAGTTGGCCGAGGCGACATTATACAATTTATATGCACGTATTGCGCTCTATCCAAGATGAAATGTCGAGGCTGCGGCTGAAGCCCTGCCTGAACCTCCTGGCTGCTCATCAACATCATCAACGAGAATGTAATTACATTTTCCCGATTCATGACAGTTTTGCATAACCAAGCGCCCCGCTTTCTGCCCCCTGCCTCCTGTCTGGGATATTGCGTTCATTAATGAGGCAGGCGCGAGAGTGGCAGCCACAAAAGCCGATCCAAGCCAGGGATACGGGGTTCAGGGATCTGGACGTGGCTATCTCCAGGCCAAGCTGAAATCATCAAGGAAACTCTATTTAAAATCTATTTAAAAATCAGCGCTTTCTCCTCATCATCATAAAGGATAGCCATGACATGAAAAGGAGGCGCCAAGTTCATTAGATACTCAAATGTATGTATATGGGGACTTTAATTCTGTGAAATGTTAAGTATTTTACAATGCCACACCCACAAGAAATAAAGTACATTCACAAAAAGATAATAATAAAAACGTAAGGTGATAAGAAGTCCATCGCCCCGAGCATATCAAGTTTGTCTAGTATACAAAATAAAACGTCTGTTGATATTTGCTCACGGCCTTCTTGAATAGCCGCTGATTACAGCATAATATTATATGTTTATATCTAATTAATTTAAATATTTTAAAAATATTTTTTTTAGCACTAAAACATAAGCTTGCACTCATATTAAAAACGGCACAAAAGATCCCCATAAATGAAGATATCATAACTACCCCTACTTGAACTTGAACTTGAACTTCAGGTGCCTGATATGAATGTTATTTCATACATGAAGTAATTTCTGTAATTTCAAAAGACTATGGTTTTCATTGGTTTTATGAATAGCTTTAATTTTTATGAATTTTTTAACGATTTCTTAAGCAACCTCACTGCTACTCCCAAGGCCTATTCCAAATATTTACGCTGTTTTATCATTGTCAATGATTGGCGTCACATTAGCTCTCTTTTAAATAGCTTCGAGCCCAAATTGCCGGCACGTCATGCCCGGAGATTAGTCAGCCTTTGTCGGTTTGTCGGAACCCCACAATTGCAACTGTTCACCGAGTTCCCTCCAGTTGGCTTGGCAGAAAATCAACTGATAAGGAAATCTGGGCAGGTCTCATAAAAGCCGTTGCTGAGCCCCAGACGACTTCAGTTTCCACCGACAAGTGCCAGTGCCAACCCACATTTTTTAATTTAAATAAACTATTTTAAGAAGCAATTAACGATAAAATTAAGTGAATTCCAACCAAGTGTGAAACAGTAAATAAGAATAATGAGTGTTCAACAAGTAAGGATAACGAGGAAATCCGTAAAATGTTTACAAGTTATTTTTAAAATTTGTGTTCTTAAATTTAATATTATTCATTTTCTAAAAATGTTTAAAAATTCTTTATAAAATATGTGATAAAAGGAAAAAAAATAATTCAATGAAGACATTGAGCATAAACGCTATAAATAAATCCATTGTATTTTGTTCTGAACTAAATAAATAGTGCAACATAAGAATGTTTCATTATCAGAAACTTTCCCTAAACCATTGGTCTCAAAAATAATTTCTATATTCTCATTTTAATCTCCAGTTCGAGCGTGAAGTTCTTGATACCCACAATAAATATCGGGCAATGCATGGGGCCCAGCCTTTAAAACTTAGTCCCAAACTGAATCAATTGGCCACTGAATGGGCCAAGGTAAGCGGATCAACTATAATCCTACGTAATAAAAATAAAATAAAATAAAAAAAAAAAAAATAAATAAAATAAATAACTCACAATCCCAATTGTTCAGTATTTGTTGGCCAGAAATTGCATGCAGCATCGTCAAAATAGCGGATATGGCGAGAATATTTACATGGCCTCCGGGGGAAATCTGGGAGGAGCAGATGCAGTTCGATCCTGGTACGAAGAAGTCTCTAAATATCAATGGCACTCTCCCTCGTTCCAATGCAACACAGGACACTTCACTCAGGTGGTGTGGAAGTCCTCCACCGAACTGGGAGTCGGCTTTGCTAAACGGTAAGTTATCCTGGAATCATGAAGATAAATTAGAAATTAATATAAAAGTTTTATTTTTAGGGGTAATACCATATTTGTGGTGTGTAACTATAATCCGCCTGGCAACTATAACAACATGTTCCGAGAAAATGTAGCCCCGAGGAGTCGTTAAATAATAGTCCTACCTAAAACATAAGATATCATTCCAAAGAGAAAATACCAAGACAATACCAAAATAAGAATTTATTCCTGCAAACATTCCTTATTAAGAAACCGTATCGACCTGAAGCCAAAGAATTAAGAGTGCATTTAAAAGCAAAATATATATTAACTATATTATGGATAAACAATAAAAAATATATAGAACGTCAATGATCTGAAACAGATTTGAAGCTACACTTAATTGTACATTTTTTACAATTTGAAAATAATCATTGAAGCTTTTTAAATATATGAATTTTTAAAAAATATCTTCATAAACATTAAATACAAATTGAATTTGTAGCATCTTTAAAATCTCGGATAGATCTTATAAAAGAAATATATCGAATGTATTAACTAATCCATGTCAAAAAATAATCATAAACATTTTAAGAACCATTAAATTGGTTGTTTTCAAACTTGTAGAAATTTAATAAATAAATACGAAAAATACTATACACTTTATTTAAGATCAATTAGTGTGCGGTTGAGTTGTAACAAACAAATACACGTGAAGTACAATCTTGAATAGATTTCCCACCCTCTAATCCTGAAAGAGGCTATTTCATTTAATTACTCCTCGATGGTGCATAGTGTGGGTCGTGGGCGAGATCCTGTGATTCCTGCGACACTGCCGCTTGAGTATCCTTTTGTGGGTATCTTGTGATTGCCAACACCATCGCAGCTATCAGGAGAATGGGCATAGGAACTAGAAGGATTCGAGGCTGCGGATGCTAGGCCCTTTGGCTTATTCCGATGCCTCGGCTGCTGGCGATGGACATAAATGCCGCTCCGACGGAGCTTGCGATACAGCGAGATATACTTCCCTGCCGTCGTTGTCCTGGGAACGATGCGCTGTTCACAGAAAGTGGTCTTGCTCCTGGCTGCCTCACTCAGTGGGGCATGGCCCAGGGCCTGCAGGAAGGCCAGGACGAATGCATAGCAGTTGTGGGTCTCCTCCGTGTAACTGGCAATGGACCACCGTGCAGACTGGGCACAAATCTATCAATGCAAAAGGGAACGAAAGCTTTGGGATTTGCATATTAACAGCAGGGTGACGCAACCAGGAATATATTAAATTATTTCATTTACTAGATTATTTTTAGCATAAGTTAAATTTGTTGTATTTTATGTTACAAACATATTGAAATTTTAATAAAAATAACCTATTAAAGCAGAACGAATCACCCCTTTTTTGTTATACACTTTGGCATTAGGGACTCACCTGCTGCAGCACCTCGTCCCAGAAGTCATGCCATGGCTCTGGTACATCCCCCACCAGCAGGGATTGCCGCCACTCCCGAGGATTATCATCCCGACGATGCCGCCGCAGACCAATGCGATCGAACTCCACGATGTCGCCGCCGGATGTGGTCACTGCGATATGCAAATCGGTGGCGTTGCTGTAATCGCTGCGGAAACACCACGCATCAAAAATATATATATTCCTGCCATGAAAGATATTTCCAGCAAAAACCCCTTTCTATATGTACAAAAAAAAACAGCAATTTTGGTGGGAATTCGTACAAAATTTGCTTTGGTCTAGCCATCAGAGATTGGTCGGGATTCTGGTTCTCGAATAAATCGAGTGAAGCCGCTTGGAATAGTCGGCTTCAATTGCTTGATTTCAATAGCAGGTAGGGAAAATCCATGGTCTATGAAACTTGAATTTTAAATAGTATGGAAGATACAAGAAGAAGAAGTACGAGTTCACTTTTTACTATTTTGAGCTTTGTTAAAATCGATTTAATACTTTAAAAATCTTCAGAATTTTATATAGAAATATAGTATTAAGAATATCTGCTAATTTATTCTATCTAAATTACAAAGGTATGTACAATTTAAATAAGACCCCTCTGATAAGTAAAATTTAATTTAATTTCTGTTTAGTCAACCAAACAAAAAGGCTGTCCAAAATTCTAGGCTCACTTTCGAAAATCCTTGAAAACTTTATGGTACAAAACTCTCTGCAGATTTGTTTGAAACATTGTCCGAAACTAATAAAAGCATTTGTTTGATTTGTTCATGGATTTGAATGTCAGCAGCTGCTGTGAATATACGAATATCCTGGCATATCCTGGCCGTTGGCCATTGTGGCTGATCCTGTTCGGGGTTACTCACTTGAGAAAATCGCCGGTGGAGGGACGCAGGACAATGGCGCACGGATGCTGTGTGGCCCGCACAAAGGGATATGGCAGACGGAAGGGCAGGAGCAGGAGGCGTGGCTTCTGCCCGCTCCTGTCTAGTTCCGCCTTTGTATCCGCATTCGCATCCGCATCCGCCTCGACGTCCACATCCGCGTCCAGTGGCGCATTGCAATGGGGACAAGTGTGCGGCAAAGTGAAGCAGAAAACTTTTACGTTGCAGTGATGAAAACAGAGAATGCCCGGATCCGAGGTAATTGTGGTTGTACTTGTCGTTGCCAACATGGCTCCGTGTGGTTGCCTATACAGAGAAAAATTACCATATATTTAAAGCCATTTAAGGTGTCAATTAGGTTGTTAATATTGTATAAAGAAGATTCTTCAAATAGTATTTAATTTTAACAAGAAAGGAAGCTAACTTCGGCACGCCGAAGTTTATATACCCTTGCAGATAGAACTTCTATGAATAGAAATCTATACAATATAAATTATATATATTTGTAATAAAAAACAACGAAGTAATACCTGCTTTCATTTCATTCACCTATATATATTATATTTGCAGTTTTACATTCACAGATTTGCATTTTTCCTCTACATCAAACGATCGCTTGTATGGCACCAATATGATATAGTCGTCCGATTTTCATGAAATTTGACACAAATTTAAAGACTAATATATAATAACTATACCTCAAATTTTATGAAAATCAGTTGAAAACTGAAAAAGTTATAAATTTAATTGTATTAATTTCTCGATCGTTCCTATGGGAGCTATATGATATAGTAGTCCGATTTTTATAAAATTTTAAGCAAAATTGTAGAGTATAGTAAGATGGCTATATCTCAAATTTGATCCAATTCTAATGAAAACTGAAAAAGTTAAAATTTTTTTTGTAAAAATTTTCCGATCATTCCTATGGCAGCTATATGATATAGTCGTCCGATACGGCCCGTTCCGACATATATACGAGTGAGAGTATATAGAAGGCTAACTACAAAGTTTCATTCAGATAGCTTTAAAACTGAGAGACTAGTTTGCGTAGAAACGGACAGACGGAGAGACGGACAGACGGACATGGCTAGATCGACTCGGCTGTTGATCCTGATGAAGAATATATATACTTTATATAGTCGGAGGTGCCTCCTTCACTGCGTTGCAAACTTCTGACTGAAATTATAATACCCTGCAAGGGTATAAAAATGTATGCTTATCGTTTACATTAAGTTTTGCTAAGAATTTTGTGTCATTGTAAAATCATATTCAGATTTTTCTGTATTTAAATAACTTTTCAGGGTGTTTGTAAATTCAGTCAGAAGTCTAAAACTCAGTGAAGGAATCATTTCTGAACCTATATTCTTGATCAGGATCAAGCTGAATCGATCTAGACATGTCCCACAGAAAAATAAATTTTTAAATGATGGATTTCACATTAAAACCCATGATCCTGCACACTTAGCCCTCGCAATATTAACTTCCTTTCTTGTTAATTAATTTTTTAATTTAAAAAGTATTAAAAGGATGCATTAAAAGGAATAAAAACAACGTTAAACTACTGAAACTTACCTTATGTACTGCCAAAAATATATGTATTTTTTCCTGTGCAATGTTTCGAAACTCCCTGGATCCTGTTTCCTAGATCCTGACTCCTGGTCTCACACTTTTCCTGCCTCCCTTGTCCCTCTCCTTGGGTTTGTCCGTTCCTGGCGCCCGTATTATAATTGATACACTTTGTCTATTGTGCCACTCGCCTCATCGCCATCCTATCTACATCGTCCTGCGTCCTGCGTCGTCCTGTCCCTGCGGTTTTTGGCCAGGCCTGAAACGAAACGAGACGTAACGAAAAATTCTTGTAAATAAGCCAGAAACCAGACGAAGTTGCGACCCAAAGCGGTTTGCCCGGCACATTCCATTTCTGCGGTCAAAGAGAGAATTAGGAGCGGGTATTAGAGGAGTCAGAGGAGTTGGTATGAAGCTAGTACAAAAACTGGTCATCCCTATGCGGCATTTGTCATCATTATTAGCCTGCGTCTCTGTTAAAGGGTATATAAAAGGTTTCTGGTGTTGCAGACTTAAGTGAGGGACAAATGGCCAAGGAAAGTAATAAGTCGGAAGCATAATATTTAGATTTAAAAATTACTTGCATTACTTACATTTTTACAATTTCTCCGAAAATTGAAAATTTTATAAGGGGTTCCATCATTAATATTGTCAAAAATTTGACAACAAATTGAATTTTTTGAATTTAAAAAACTGAGTATGCAGATTTGTTAATCTATTAAAAATCAGCATAGAACAGCTTTCCGAATTAAAATTAATAATATTTTGGCTTAGTTATGAGTTCTTAAAACTATGATTTTTGGACAAAACGTCTGTTTTTATACATTTTTTCAGGTTTTTATGATTTTAGTCAAAAACTGACAATAGCATCCTCAAACGCAGTATGCAGATTTGTAAGTGCAATAAAACTTGCACAGAAATATATTAAATATAATATAAATAAATATATAATTTAAGTCAGAAGCTTAAAACGTAATGAAGAAGTCATTTCCGACACTATAAACCATATATATTCTTGATCAGCATCAACAGCCCAGTCGTTCGAGCCATGTCCCATAGAAAAATAAATTTTTGAAATTTTTGAACAAATCAAAATCAAAAATTTGGCAAAAAATTGAATTTCTTAAATTTAAAAACGCAGTATGCAAAGATGTTAGCCGTATATATATATAGTTATGAGTTTTTTAAGAATATAAATAATAATAATGCAAGCCTTTCATTTCAAAACCAAGAAAATCAATTTAAACTTAATTGAACTTCCATTATTCTTTCCAAATAACTTGTACACTGTACAGGCAAAGTTGGCGTGTTCCCTAAAATTAGTCCCCTTCAAGCCAATTAAGGCAATGACGTTGAAAACGTCTACCAACCCTTCGCAACTGGCCCTAAAGAAATCTGTTTTAACAAAAAATGAAAACCCCACAATTGCCGCACCCTCAGACAAGTTAGCCTCCTCAATCAATTAAAATCGTAGAAAAGCGCCGTGGAAAAGCCACCCCCGCTAGCCAGTCACATGTTGGCCAGCGAAGAAAGCCGGCTGCCAGCCAAAAAGCGGGCCAACTCACAAAAACGTAAACAAACCGGCAAAATGGAAAAGTCACCACCGGCATAAGGAAAATGAGGAAAACTCACCAAAAAACCATCAGACAAATTGCCCAAAGCACCTAAGAGAGGGAAAGCGAGAGAGAGAGTGCTGCAAAGAGAGCCAGGGAAATTCTGAACACCGTAGGTGGAAAATGCATTATTCACGAATGCGGAATTTCCCCGACTCGTCGGGAACTCGGCTTTCACAATGGGGGACGATGGCTCAAAGGAAGCTCGAGGCGAACCAGTTGACGGCGAGCCGTGCGAGCAGACGGTCGTGTTTCAGTCGCAGTTCCTCGAGGCAATTGTCCCGAGGCCCCATCGCATCGAGCCCCATAGTAAACCATCATCATCATTAGTGCAACGATATAAAGTGTTTGAAAATAATACAGGAGAAAAAAAACGTATAAAAACAGTGCAAGTAAGAGTAAAAACGTGGCATTATCCTGACAAACCAAAACCAGAGAAAACCCTAAGCCCTAACTTAAAACAAAGAAATAAAAAATAGACACTAACGAACGGTCGCCAAGTGAAGTTGTTTACAACTTGCGGTCAGGACTTTTTCGGATTTTCAGGGGTTTTTCGTGTTAGTTTGTGTGGTTTTCCGCCCTCGCCCCCCAAAAAGTCCTGTGTGTGTTTGTGTTGTGCTGCTGCAAAGTGGAAGACGCCATGGCAACACATTGCTAATCGATGACGTGACCAACAAAAAAAAACAACAAAAGCATACAAAAGCAAAACCACAAAATACAAAATACAATACAAAAAAAAAAGGAGCGAAAACAGGACACCCCTCTTCACACTTGGGATAACACAAGGATAATGACCATAAACTGATTTGGTATGTGGCCATCAACATTTTGACAGCAACGAACCCTAAGAAAAAAAAATGGTGCCTTAAATTTCGGTCAAACTGATAAAACCATAAATGTATTTTTCTGATTTGATAGCCAGAAGGGTAAAATCATTTAAGCTTCTTAAATGTTCTGGCAAAACCTCACTTTATATTTTGCCGCATTTCAAGATCGACAGAGATATGTATGTATATGGCAGGCGATGGGAAAAAGTTGACATTCCGCAAACAAGACTGGAGAGCAACTTTAGGCTATTCAGGAATTGCCAAAGGATATAAATTATTTCAACTTTTCTGCTACTCGTCTGCCACTCACTAGCTCTTAACCCAATTAGTGGGCGTGGCTCTTGTGCGAAATTAAAATGTTTACTTGGCCAACTTACAAAAAACAAAAAAAAAATACAAAATTAAGGCAAACTATCCTTGCAACTTTCTCTGACAGATTAAGTGGATAATTTTCTGAAATGGGTCGCAAAGGGTTAAATATAATGGGATATATAATATTCTGGACAAAAACTTAATTTAAATTTAAACAAGGGTACTGTTTTTTACTTATTATAGATAGTTTTATAATAAAAGTTTTTGCTTTAGCTTTGAGGATCTTAAATCCTTTTTAAGAGAAAAGAAAAACACTTTGAGAAGGAACTTTTTAGCAGCCTTCAAGTTAGTAGTTTGCACAATTATTTCTTATTCAAAAGATTGCATTATATATTTAACTTTGTAAAAATAAAGCTATTCAAATAGTAATTAATTTCACTAAATAAATACATTATTGTAAATAATGCAAGTATACGCTGTGTAAATGAAAAATAAAGGCAAACAAGGTATTTTTCGTAAAAGTTTAAAATATGAAAAGAGCCAAATAAATAACCAAATGTAAACATAAATTACCAAACTAAATAGTTCCAGTTTTGTGTAAAGCTCTGCCTTAATATTGTTCCAAAAGAAAGCGTGGAAAACAAGCAGGGTAACAAATGCAATAAAGGATGTGACAACAGGCCTTCGGAGACACGAAAAGAAAGTAACCAGTTGTAGAGGGAAGATAACAGCAACAATTTGGGACAAATCCAAATAAACTTTATCTTCATGTTGTTTGCCAACTTGAATTAAACACGCCCCCAACACACATGGAAAAAAATACTGAGCGAAAATCTCAAAGAGTTGCCAGAAATTAAATTACAACTTGCATCCTCTTCCGGACTTCTTTCTTTTCATTTCCTTTTTTTTATTTTTGGCCACTCACTTGGCCAGGACCTTCAAAAGGAATTGTTTGGCCAAGGCAAACACAGAAAAGGCAGCAACAAGAAAGTACGACAAAAAATGTCTGAAATCAAGTTAAGTTTACGAATTTTTAGTGCACTCTCAAAAGCAGAAAGAACATAAAAATAAAAATAAAGAATGAGGCATTTACAGGGCATACAACAGTTTAAAAATGCAGAAGCTGAAGAAAAAAATATTTAATATAAACTTTATTTACGCAGAGCAGGCGCGAAAATAGTGGACATAAATCATAATATATTTTCACAGAGCGAATTCAAAATACCCTGGCGTTAATAAAAATTTAGTTTTAATGTAAATATAGTGACTCAGAATATTCAAAAGAATAATAAGTATATATTATAGTTACGATTTGATAAATATTTCAAGAAGTTCTTGAGCTATAACTGATTACTTTTGTAAATCAAAAGACGTACCAATTAATTCCCTGATTTTCTTAATTTTTCTTGTATTTAAGTTACACTTTTTTGCATATCCTTTCCAACTCAATTACTTTTCAAACCTCTCCCCTTGCAAGGACATCCAACAGACAAGTGAATAATTAAGAGTGAGAAGGACCAGAGCTGCCAGTAAGTAAATTTAACGGCAACGACTGACAAAAAATTGCTCAAAATTTTATTGTCCTACGCTTTCCCCTTTTTTCTGAAGCTCGACGTCCTTATTTTTATGCTTTCTTTTGTTTGGAGTTTTTTTGTTTTTTTTTTTTGATTTTGTATTTTTTTGGTCCGCAGCTGGTGACGCAGGATATAAATTACAGTGGGAACAATAAGAGCAACAACAGCAGACGCTACAACAAGTGTTTGGTGAATTAATAACAAAACGGTGACAATAACGACAAAGTTGAGAATCCAGAAGGGCCGCAGCCCCAAATGAAATAAGCCGAGTTGACAACTTTGAAAGCGGCTTCCAGTGGGCCCGAAAAGAGGAACTCAAAATTCCCTGCAATGCGTGAATTAATTCAGCAGACACGAGACTCTCTCACACACACGCGATGCGATGTGAGTTTTTGGGCCAAAAGTTCAGGTGCGTGCTGGAAAAATCGCAGAGGAATGGGGTCCAAAAGAAAAGTTTACTTCTTTTACGCAGCAAACTAATTACGACGCTTTGGAAAATACTGCATAAATAAATACATTTTAAGGAATTGAAACAATGGTTTCGGTTCTCTTTCTATATTTGTATATCCTTAACAAAGATGTTGTGCATTAACCAATCTTTATAAGAGGTGAGATCTTAACAAAGAAGTGAGATCTTAAGATCATAAAACTATGTCCTTGCAAAAAGTAGATTATTTTTCACCTTAAATAATTGAACGATCATAGTGAGTTCTTTAGCCAATTTTCATATCTTGAAATAGGTTTTTCTGAAAAGAAAACAGTCCCCCTTTTGTAGCGCCTCTGGCCAAAGGTGTGCCACACTTGTGCCTCATGCTGCTGTAGCCTCACCTCACCTCCAAGTTCCGTTCTCCGATTTTCCCCTTCCATTTTCATCTACCTTGGAGCATTTTCCTGCTTCTTCAGCCCCTTGGCAGCTTCATAAAGCCAAGTGTTTGCGCTTTGAAGTTTCCGTTTCCGCAGTTAACAACGAATTGTTGTTGTGGCTGCTTGTTTTTGTTGTCACTTGTTGTTATTGTTGATGTTGTTGTTGTTTCTATTGCGGCACAACATAAAACATACTTATACAGAAGTTGGTGGCACATCCGAAAAACACCAGGAGGACATACACATTAAAAGACACTGCTGAGAATCTATGGTAGTTAGGAAAAACTTTGGATGTATTTGAATATCTTGAAAAATAAGTTAAAAAATGTTTATTAAATTGTTTCTAATATTTATACCATTGCAAGGTAATATAATTTCAGTCAGAAGCTTACAATTCAATAAAGGAAGCATTACCGACCCTATAAACCATATATATTCTTGATCAGCATCAACAGCCCAGTCGTTCTAGCCATGTCCGGTCGAAAAATAATTTTTTAAATTTGTTTCTAAAATTGAAAATTTTATAAGGAGTTATGAGGGTCATTAAAATTGTCAAAATCTGACAACAAATTGAATTTTTTGAATATGAAAACTGAGTATGCAGAGTTGTTAACCCTTTAAAAATTATCACAGAAAAGCTTGTTGAATTTAAATTAATGCATTTTTGGCTTAGTTATAATATATGAAACACTTGGTTTTATCCTTTAAATTAGCGTATAAAAGTATGGATTAAAGAATAGTTCTTTTATTAGACATAAACCAAAGATCAGTTGAGTAGAACTCATTTTCCAGTGTAGCAAAAGAATGCCAATGCTGAGCACTTGTCGTATCTTCCTTCGGCTGCATTGTTGTTCACCTTTCGGCTTCGCATCTGTGCCTTGGAATCACGCAAAATGTAAATTACAAATTTATTCTCGTTTTCGCCTTACCCCGACAGCATCTAATTAAGTTTGGGAATTGTTTGCTCGGTGAAGAGAAGCCAAGTGTTTGGGTAACTTTAGAGTAAATATTTAGTTGGTTTTCAACGGGGGCGAAACTCAAAGAGTTGGAATCATATATATTTTTTAAGGAAAGGCCATCATTTAATCATAATTATTTCAACTGTTAATTGAAAGTTTGCAGGACTGTGACTTCCGACATTATCAAATTAATTGAGGCAAATTAATCGCAGAAAATCTACTTGAACTTCAATCCTGCGTGAAAGCCTTTTATTTACACTTTTGTATTGTAAATATTTGTACACGTTGTGGTCATAAATAACGACAGATTCATGGAATTTTATTACGCACATTTTATGCGCAGAAAACCGAAATAACAAATGCCAGGAGAAGTGTGTATAAAAATGTGAGCAGCCGCGAAGAGGATTTTGCCAGAGTTGAAGGAAACTCGATACTGGGGAAAGCAGTGAAAGCGAGGTGGCAGAAGGCAAACACTTTCACTTTGTGCCCATTTAAGGTCGTGTGTGGTACGTGCAATAAATAAGCGACTTATTTATGCCCCTCACACAGACACAGACAGCACCAATAACAAAGTATTTGGGTTAGTAATGCCATTTACGAGGCAAAACAAACATAAAGCAAAAATGTAAAAAAGCTCTGTTTACGTTTATGTTCATGCCGGTAAATCCGTCTTCAATGTAAGCTCTCCTAAATCTTAAACAAAGCAAAAAAAAGAACAAATATAAATATATATGTATGTATAATAATAACAGGAGAGGAAAACCCAGAGAACGTTCGTCTATTTAACTAACTGTGCATAATTCATAATTTAATTAAGAACTCGGCGAAATGAAAAAAGTTACACGAGGGACATTGACGCGAGACCGCCCATTCCCTTCCATTTTAAACGTCCTCATTTAAACACTGAAAACAAAATGAATCCTTTATTAAAGTAATTTGAAATAATAGAACTTCATTTTGAATTTCTTTCCTCTTTTTTTGAAGTTTAGTTTAGCCTGTAAGAATTTTCCGCTGACAAATAACACAAATAATAAGAATATAATGATATTATTATTATTTGATGAGTTTAATAGTAGCTAAACTTATATATTTTATTTTATTTTATAATCGAAGCACCAACTACTTGTAGTTGAATAATTTTATAGAAAATTACGAAAGGTTTCATTTAGTTTCACTTACATTTTTATTCCATCTTCAAAGAATCCAAATAAAATTTAACATTTAATAATTAGGAAGGTATTAAGGTATCCCTTTAATCAATCCAACAATTAGA